TAACAATGAGTTACGAATATAAAAAATAGATTAAAATATAGAATAGATTTTGTTACATGTTATGTACCACCTGAGCCATTGTCTTGTAGACTGATAAAAAAGTATAATTTTAATGGCATTCCATATCAAATTCATAATCCTTATCTTCATTTATATACAAATAGCTAATGCCTTTTAAATTGCAGGGGCAATTTGCAGGGGCAGTACTACTCTTCCAATGTCATGTGCATGGCAAGAATCCATTATGTAAATTAAGAATAATTATGTAAATTAGATTACAAGGTTAAAGTATAAATATAAAATATAAATGCCTTAGGTCTCAGGCCCAAGGCATTTACATTTTAACCTTTCTCAAAAATGGAGAGAAAGACTGTAAGACAGTGATGGCTAACCTTTTTGCCATCACGTGCCAAACGCGGGGGTCATGCGTGCGTGATCCCCCCCCTGCACAACCCCTGCTTTTGGCATGCAATGACCCGGTGGGCCTGTTTTTCACCCTCCCCAGGCTCCAGAGGCTTCCTTGGAGCCTGGGGAGGACGAAAACTGCCTTCTCCACCCACCCAGAGGCCACCTGGAGGCCGGAAACGGCTTGTTTCCTGACTCCTGGTAGGACTGGAAGGCCCAAAAATCAGTTGGCTGGCACACGCATGCACGCTGGAGCTGAGCTAGGGAAATGGTCGCATGCCCACAGATATGGCTCCGCGTGCCACCTGTGGCACGCGTGCCATAGGTTCGCCATCACGGCTGTAAGAGATAAACAGAGATATCCCAAAGGTGCTTTTTAAAAAGGCAACTGGACTTTGTTTTTCCTTGAAGACATGTCGCTTCTCATCCAAGAAGCTTCTTCAGCTTCTTGAATAAGAAGCGAAACATCTTCAAGGAAAAACAAAATCCAGTTGCCTTTTCAAAAAGCACCTTTGGGACAACCACGACCTGGATGACTAAGAATCTCCATAGACATTTAGTTATAAGCAGAGATAGTTACGTATTCCAAGAAAAGATTATTTGCTGCTCAGGGTTGAACTGTGGGGTCCTTGGGGCTTTCTAAGTGTGGTTGTTTGTTTGCAGATGTTTCATTGTCCATCTAGATAACATCATAATAAGATTACCTGATGATGTTGCAACTTGGATAAAGAAATGACTGCAAGCAAACAACCACACTCAGCACCAAGGAAACCATAGTGACACATATTTAACTAGTGATGCTTGAAGGGAAGAATTGGATTTAGGTGAAGATTTCTGCTTTACAATCCAGAAAAGAAAGGAGTAATGTGAGAGAGAAATTTGAGAAACAGTTCCTGAAAGACAATATGCTAAGGAGGTATGGAGGAGCTCATACTCACCCAACAGGACACACACTAAACTACAAAATGGCATCTACAGACATTTAACAATTTTAAAAAAATACTATTTACAAAATTAAAGAGGATCAACATTTCATCTTGTGAGATTTCAGCATTTTTGGACCGAGGTAAAAATGTCAACATTGCTTGAGATTTTAGGTGCCCTTAGCAAAATGTTGGAATTCTTGAACGAGACCATCAAGAATTAGACTATCAAATTTCAAGATTTTGTACAATGCAATGATTTCATGGGAACTGAGATGATAATGATGAAGATAATTGTCGCATCATCATCATCATCATCATCATCATCATCATCATCATCAGGGACACCTGCAACAATTGAGCTGCTGGATGCATAGGTATCCAATTTTCTGTTTCACTTCAAGATTTCCATTCTGGAAGGATAAGAAACTCAGTAAGTTTATCAATTACCTCTCTTATGAGCTACCATATGGAAACCTAATGAATCCACATCCAGAGGTTTAAGTTTCCTGTCAAGAGAAGGTCTGAATATGTTTTCCAATGATCTATCCTGTGCAAGGGGTATAAAACCTGCCACCTCTGAAATTGAGGTCTAAGACATTGATGACAACTTTAGATTCAAGAGCTAAATTATGATATTTAATCTGTTCTATTTCACAGTTGCTGAGAAGACAGACAAAGACACACACGAGCACACTGCAAAATAATATCGTTTACAAGAGAAGGCTGAATTGATCAGGAAGAATTGACAATGGAAACAAGGTACTGAGAAGATACAGGAATAAAGAGCTTCCAATATCCAATAAATGCATCTTGTTTGAGTGCATGACACATTCTCTGAGGGAATCACCTTCTTTAAGGCATTTTTCGTAAGTACCATTTTATTTCTATCACCTTTGTTTCTATTATATTTTATTAAGGTTAAATTAATTTGCATTGTATAATTGCTAATATTAGCTTATTAGCATTACTGTTAACATCATTATATTATTAATATATTTTTCATAAGCAATGATTTAAGCAACTTTTTCAAATAATACTACCTTAAAATAAAGTTGGTCCATCTATGCACATATATCACTTAAGGTGAAGCTGTGGTGGCACCATGGTTAGAATGTAGTATTGCAGGCTAACTCTGCCCACAGCCAGGAGTTTGATCCTGACTGGCTCAAGGTTGACTCAGCCCTCCAGCCTTCCGAGGTCAGTAAAATGAGGACCCAGATTGTTGGGGGGCAATATGCTGACTCTGTAAATTGCTTAGAGAGGGCTGAAAATGTTATGAAGAGATATATAAATCTAAGTGCTATTGCTCTTGTTATTGTAATATCAATCAATCTGCTTGTAAATTAAAACATAGATCAATTGCAGTGTTCAACTTTTGCCTGCAGAAGATCCAAAACAGGCAAATTATGACATGTGTATGGTCATGTAATCGCACACATGCCACAACCTGTGTGCCTTCATCCACATTTTAATAAAGTATGTAATTGTGGCATGTGTCTATGGAGATTCTCAACCATTCAGGACATGGTTGTCTCAAAGGTGCTTTTTCTAAAAGGCAACTGGACTTTCTTTCTTTTTTTCTTTGACAATGAAGCTTCTTGGATGAACCAAGAGAAAACAAGAAAGTCCAATTGCTTTGGAAAAAGCACCTTTGGGACAATTGCGGCATAAGTGTTTTATGTCAGTATGCAATTGTCATCTTTTTGCCATCACTGCAGTTTACTGTGGGTGCTGATGACAAGTAAAGTAGAGAATCTGTAGGAACTTGCCTCTCCCCTCCACTCAGAAAAGTAGAACCCTTGAAGCACTTAGCATTTCAAAAGGAAACTTTTATTGAAAGGAAGCAAGACAAAGAAAGCAAGGTCTGAGGATTCCTGTGCAATTCCGTTAGATTAAAGCAATTAGAAACCCCTCCCCTCAGTCTGGTGTTGAATAGGCCAATCTGCAGGCGCGAAGTTGTTTTGAGAAACCTAGCCTGAGAAGGTGATAAGAAGTTGTTCTCAGGCATCGCTTGCTGGAGGCTCCAGAACTGAGACAAAACAGATGGCCCTCTCCCACTTACATTCCCAGGAAGGTAAATCAAAGAACATGATAGATAGGCACCAGGAAAAAAGGCTATAAGCTAAAAATTGCACCCAGACCAGAGGTGGTAGATTCAGCAGGTTCTGACCAGTTCTGGAGAACTGGTAGCGGAAATTTTGAGTATTTTGGAGAACCGGTAAATACCATCTCTGACTGGCCCCACTTCCATCTATTCTCTGCCTTCCGAGTCCCAGCTGGGGATTTTGCAGTAACCTTCCCCTGGACTGGGGTGGGAATGGAGATTTTACAGTATCCTTCCCCTGCCACACCCACCAAGCCACGCCATGCCCACCAAGCTACATCCACAGAACCGGTAGTAAAAAAAAATGAATCTCACCACTGAGCCAGGCCCCCCTCCCCACCAGAATAGCAGTGTCCCAATAGGGATCTATGGGACCTGACAGAATCTCTACAAAAATTGATGGTAAAGATGGCCAGAGACCCCAGGGGTTTGACCCAGCAATAGACAGCTTGCATTGTAGTATGTTTAATGTTGTATTTCATGCAATCAGGACAGTTTCCTCTATTCATCTATTATGACAATGAATGTCAATCTGTGAGGCAACTCTGCAGTCAGTTTATTACACTCAGGTTATCATTATTAAACCAATTTGCTGAAGACTCTGATGCAGATGGAGAGCCATAGCCCCATCAGGGCCTGCTGTTATTGTGCAAGTGACTGCAGCTGAATTAATATAAAGTTTAATCTAAAGGAGCAATAAGACTGTGATTTTATTCTTTCTTTTTGACATAATCAGCAGGCTACGCCCAATAAATGCAGAGAAACCATTTCCCCTAAGGTGCCTAAGCTGTATTCAGCAGTTTACAAAGATCAGGAAGGTTCCTTTTAGCATTCACAAACTGCTATGCTAAACTTTACCTCTTATTGTTTTCAGTGATAATTTCTGTCTAATAATAGTATTATAATTTTAGGTTTATGGGATAGGAAAATAGCTAGGGACGTGAATCAAGAAGAAAGTGGCTCAGTTGGTGAAATATGGTGCAAGATTTTCCAAAATGCACTAATTTTTTACAGCCATTAAAGATTGGTATATTTCTGATGCTGAATATTAATAAAATGCCAGGGTTTTCCGTGGTTAAAGCATTTAGTGCCAAGGAAATAATGTATGCATATATGAGCTTTTCATCCATATGAATAGCATTAAAGAGCTGTTCAAAAATTCAAGAATCAGGCAATTATAGTAGGCAGGAGTATTTGTACATTTCTCTCTCTCTCTCTCTCTTCATGTTAATATCTTTTGTTTCCACTGTTAAGAAAGCATCAGCATGAAACAAGCTAGAAAGGCATGCTATTAGTTTTCTCTTTTTTTTATAGAAATTTTAGTAAAGATTACAATTTGCAACAATAAAAACTAATGCAAAGTAAAAAAGAAAAGAAAAAAGATTGTGCAGAAAAGAAAAAAGAGAAAAAGAAAAAAATAAGAATACAATGAAAAAGAAAATAAATATATAAAGGAGTGACTTCCTCCTCCTTCACAAGTATATAAACAATTTTAGTAATTTATCATCCTGTCAAATGCAATAAATGATTTTCATTTTATATATCTTATCTATAAACAAATCCAGAAAGCATCATCATTTCAGTCCTGATGTCAGCCAAAGTCCTTCCAGGCTTAACTGAGGTAACAACACATCTATTTTAAGCTTGATCAAAGGTCTTCTCCCACGTAAAATTGGAAGTGTCTTGGCGACGTTTCGACGAAGTCTCATTCGTCATCTTCAGGCTGGTGTTCTCGGCTTCGTGCTTCCAGGAGCAATTGGAAGCACGAATTGCTCCTGGAAGCACGAAGCCGAGAACACCAGCCTGAAGATGACGAATGAGACTTCGTCGAAACGTCGCCAAGACACTTCCAATTTTACGTGGGAGAAGACCCGAATAGCCAAAGACATATATATATATATATGTATATATATATGTATGTATGTATGTATATATGTATGTATATGTATGTAAGTTTTCACGGGTATATATGTGTGTATAGTTAATATCTCGAGTTTCTTCCCATGTAATTGTAAACATATCCCTAAAAGGGTAGTAGCGACGTTTCAACGAAATCACATTCGTCATCTTCTGGCTGAAGTTCTCAGTTTGGTGCTTATGGGCAAACTGTGTGAACGTAACTGACGTTTTTCTATGAAAAGAGGCAAAGGTGTATTCTGATTGGTCAACAGTGTTGTATTCTGATTGGCTGATGACGTAGCTGTATTTTGATTGGGTGGAAGTGCTGATGCTTGGTTGTGGGTTAATGGATAAGTTATGTTGGAAATGGTGGCAACACAGGCATTATGATGAATCTTTGATCTATGGTTTAGATAACCTGCTCTCATAGACAGACGAATCTTAACACAAAATCTAAACCATAGATCAAAGATTCATCATAATGCCTGTGTTGCCACCATTTCCAACATAACTTATCCATTAACCCACAACCAAGCATCAGCACTTCCACCCAATCAAAATACAGCTACGTCATCAGCCAATCAGAATACAACACTGTTGACCAATCAGAATACACCTTTGCCTCTTTTCATAGAAAAACGTCAGTTATGTTCACACAGTTTGCCCATAAGCACCAAACCGAGAACTTCAGCCAGAAGATGACGAATGTGATTTCGTTGAAACGTTGCTACTACCCTTTTAGGGATATGTTTACAATTACACGGGAAGAAACCCGAGATATTAACTACACACACACACACACACACACACACACACACACACACACATATATATATAACCAAGACCTACATATATATATATATATATATATATATATATATATATATATATATATATATATATATATATATATATATATATATAATAGGTCTTTGGTTATTCGGGTCTTCTCCCACGTAAAATTGAAAGTGTCTTGGCGACTTTTCGACGAAGTCTCATTCATCATCTTCAGGCTGGTGTTCTCGGCTTCGTGCTTCCAGGAGCAATGTGAGATCGCAGCTGTCTCTTCCTTTTAACTGCTAGTGGGGGTGTGAGCTGATTGGGTGGGAACTTGGCTGTGTTCTGATTGGGTGGAGGTGTGTTCTGATTGGTTAGGGGCTTGGCTGTGCTCTGATTGGATGGGGGTTGGTTGTGCTCTGATTGGATGGGGGTGTGTTCTGTTTGGGTGGGGGCTCAAGCAGTCGCATCCATGACAAACCATTTTATACCAAATTTATATTTCGCTGATAAAGAAATAAAGGGTTACGGTTTAACTCTAACCCTAATCCTTTATTTCTTTATCAGCAAATATAAATTTGGTATAAAATGATCTAGGTCACTTCTTTGTTCTGTTATATGTATATCCCTTTTAATTAGTAACATATGAGCTGGTGTCTTTTGTATGTCCATTGTAACATCCTTTTCAGTGGTGGGATTTAAATAATTTAACAACTGATTCTCTGCCCTAATGACTGGCTGGATGGGCATGACCATGGTGGGTGTGGCCAGAGGATGCTCCCTCTGGGAGTAAAAATGAGCCACAGGGGGGAACATGCTACCCCCCCTTGTGCCCCATTTTGGGCCTAGGAGGCCTCCCTGCACTTACCTGGGAGCCAAAATGGACTCCTGGAAGGGGCAGGGAGGGGAGGGGAGGGGCCAGCCAGCAATTTAACTACCGGTTCGCCCAAACAAGCCTGAACTGGCTGAATCCCACCACTGATCCTTTTCCATATAATTCTTGTAGCCTGTTATTTTTAAATCCAGTTTTAAATCAATCTCAATTCATATAAGGTAATACTTGTACCTCTTCCACAGCAACTTTTAAAAACAGTCTATCTCTAGAAGCAGACACTTTTAAAATTAATTTCTGAGCTCATTGTTCAAAAATAAATTTCAATATATTCAATTTTAAAATATTTTGCTTCATTTTAGTAAGTCAACTTTGAGGGCTCCTCTCGTTTAACTGTAATCTTTAAAATTATAATACATTTTTAAAATATAATCTTTTTTTTTAATAATTCAAAACAAATGCATTTTTCTCATGGGAAGTATTCTTTACAGTTACAGTAATTCCAAAAATTTTATTTCAGATTTATCTGGAACTTAGTCCTATTTGTAACTTTATAAAATCAAGCTTTGGGGGAAAAAAATAAGTTTTTGAACTTGTATTTAAAATTTCTTTCATTAAGAATTAAAGGAAACTCACCTCTAGCTTCTCTATCCTAAGTTCCTAATAGCTGGAAACAAGCCGTTTCCAAAGGTGATTAGAAACAGAAATGTGAAAACCCAGTGTCCTTTTGAAGGCACCAACTATATTTTGATTTGAGTATATAGGCATTTCATACATATTATTGCCTTACCAATGATACTTTAATCCATCACTATCTTTTCCATGACTGAATATTATCTTACAAAACATACAGTGTTGTTTGCATTCCCAAGCTATAGCTTGCAATCTGAAACTTGTTTAGAAAATAATTCCTATTGAAAGAGACTGAGTCTCATTTCAAAGCAAGGATGCTCAGGACCTTAGCTACAATGTCTCTAGGAACTTTTTAGATAACTTCAGGGATAAATTCCTGGTTTAAAATTCCTGTTGCTTTGCATTTCCCTTCTAGCTGCAGAGTATTTCAGTCCCATGGACAAGAAGCAAATTGGATACACTCAAAGTAATAAAGGTACATTGTTGTGTTACTGCAATAGCTTGCTATGTCCTCCAGGCTTTGTCTCACATTAGTAAATTTGCTTTCTGGTTTGCTTTTCAGCATTTATACTCCTTTCTGAAAGTACTCAGGGAAGCTTGTAAAATGTGTAAGTTTAAAACTTTGTTAAAACCTAACCAAAACAGGGAATATTTAGCCGATGAAACTAAAGTACCCCTCTGTGCCTGGCTTCCCCTCCCTGGGATGGATGCCGCCTTCAGTATGACGTAAGCATAGCTCATAAAATCATCTGCTACAATGTCCTACCTGTCAATGACTACTTCAGCTTCAACCGCAATAATACATGAGCACACAATAGATACGAACTTAAAGTGAACCGCTCCAAACTCGATTGCAGAAAATATGATTTCAGCAACAGAGTGGTCAATGCCTGGAATGCACTACCTCACTCTGTGGTTTCATCCCCAAACCCCCCAAATTTTAACCTAAGACTGTCTACTGTTGACCTCACCCCATTCCTAAGAGGTCTGTAGGGGCATGCATAAGTGCATCAGCATGCCTACTGTCCCTGTCCTAATGTTCTCTTTAATTGTATCCATTTTATGTATTCAATTCATGCTTATACTTATATATATTATCTAATACGTACTCGACAAATAAACCATCTAGAATAATGCTGAGAACAGTAGAGGGTCACCATCAGAGAATTGGACAGCCTAGATTGGGGGATGGTGCTGCCTTTGAGGAGACGTGTGCGTGTGTGTGTGTGTGTGTACCAAAGTATTATAGTGATGACGGGTATGTGGAGATAGGGTGTAAGAAAGGAAGTGGGTCATTCTCAAAGAATGTGAGGCTGATGTCCTGTACCAGTTTTGTGTTCCAGCACAGTCTCAATCCCAGTCTCAGCCCCTCTACCCAGTCAGCAGAACTTCAGAGGGCCTAGCTTTCAGCTGTTGCTCCTAAATGCCAGCTCAGCCTCTATCATTTGTTATTTAATTGACAATGTGGGGGCTAGGCTTCTCCTTCTCCTTATTTTTCTGTCCAGGATTCCAACGGATTCAAACACACCCAATTAGAGGTGATATTTAGCAGGTTCTGACCAGTTCTGGAGAACCAGTAGCAGAAATTTTGAGTAGTTTGAAGAACCCCCATCTATTCTCTGCCTCCCGAGTCCCAGCTGATTGGGAGGAAATGGGGATTTTGCAGTAACCTTCCCCTGGAGTGGAGAGGGAATGGAGATTTTACAGTATCCTTCCCCTGCCATGCCCACCAAACCATGCACACAGAACCGGTAGCAAAAAAATTTGAATCCCACCACTTCACCCAATATGTAGGACATAACCGTATTTCAGACCATATTTATCTGATATGAGCCTAAACTCTGAATGCAACTTGTGCCACCTGACTCCATCAGGGCTCTGTGGCCTTCATTTCTGATCATTCCCAAATCAACATTGCTTTCATTAAAATAATCTGGAGTTGAAGTCTGGTGTTTCCCCCAAGTTGGTGTATGTTGCTCTACCATACAAAAGGTATCTCACACACCCTCCCTCCAGGCTTCCTTGGAATTCTGAGAGTTGCAGCTCCAACACATTGCAAGGGAGCCAGCTTGAAGATACCTAGTCCAGCAAATAGGTCAACAAAGCACTCTTTCTTGCAATAAGAAGAGTCCAGGATATCCCCAGGCTGTCAAATAGTCTTAAACGCTTATAGCTTAATATTTCAAAGAGGGCCAGATTTACCTTTAATGCTTCATGGGTAGCCAGTAGAAGATATGGCCCATGGATCAGGGGTGGTATTCACTTATCTTCGCTATCGGTTCGCAAATGTGAGCACATTCGCCATCTCCGTGCATGTGCAGAGCCTTCCATGCATGCGCAGAGCATAAAAAATGGAATGTGATTATGTCCGGGCAGGTGGGCGGAGCCTCCCGCAGCCACCGCTACCAGTTCGCCTGAACCGGATAGAACTGGCTGAATATCACCACTGCCATGGATCATCTCTAGCATGGATAGGGTTAGTGCAGGGATCGGCAACCTTAAACACTCAAAGAGTCACAAAGGCCCTAACTGGAAGCTCTCTGTTCAATTCTGGAGCCAACCGGAAGTCCGGCTCCCCCCACCATAGTGACTCCTCCTAGCGCGGCATCCTATTTCCTCTACCTATCCTAACTGAAAGCCCTATCAATTGTGGAGCTGACTGGCAATAGGGAGCTGCAGCAGAGGGATGAAAGAGCCACATGCAGCTCCAGAGCCACAGGTTGCTGACCCCTGGGTTAGTGGAAGGTGCTATTCCTCCTCTCCTAATCAGTGGGTGTAGCTTTAATTTGCTCTGGGCACAACTCAGGCATATTCTAATGGTAAGCATTTTTAAAATCATTTTTTAAAAGAAAAAAATAGGAGTGTTTATAATGGATTGCACTGGAGACCGAGGATCTGATACTAACACTGTCTTGATTACATTCCCAATGAAATGCTTTTTCCCCCTTTTTTGTTTTTTCTAGATAAATGATCCCTTTGTGTGGCATCCTTTCTGGAAGAAAAGGCAGTAAACAATGAACAAGCAATCTTTGGTTTTATTTATCAGTATTTATCAGAGTGATCCTTCAATTCTTCCAGATGTTGTTTTTCCTCCTCCTGCTTTTTCCATCTTCCCTTTCTCCCTCCTTCTTTCTCTCTGTTGTGGGCATCCATTTTTAATCTGTGAGCTGTATTGGGGAGCTTCTGGTTGACCCTCGACTGCCTCCTGAGAAGAAGAAACACTTGCGTGTCATAGCTGAAATGACACACCTTAAACTGCAGGAAAACTCGCACGCAGCATTGATGTTTGCGACATGTGGCTTTCTTGGGGATTTTGAGGAGAGTTCGTGACCTGATGCTGCGTGAGCTGCATTGCTCTAGCTGACTGGAGAGGGAGTGATGAAATCTTTGGCAGGCAGGAAAAAGGGAATTTTGAGCTGTGCTATCCGGTTTTGTTTGGTTTTATGTCCTTTTGCAAATTCTTCTTGCTATAGTACAATATGTTCATGCAAGCATATATATTTTAACTCATTCTCTCTCTTTGAGTGAAATACTGTATGACCGCTGGCTGGGAAGGAAGGAAGGCAATGATGATGAAATAATGATTTCATAACTAGTTGAGTAATGAAATTTTCTGCAAGAAAACAACTAAGCTCAAAGAGCTCCACCTTTGAATTTTCATTAGTTTTTCTCCATTAATCCCCACTTATTTATAGGAAAGGAAGGAAGGAAGGAAGGAAGGAAGGAAGGAAGGAAGGAAGGAAGGCCCTATAGTATGGGTGGGGAACCATGGCCGTTTTATGATTTGTGCACTTCACCTCCCAAAACTCCCATTGCTAGCTCAAGAATTCTGGGAGTTGATTCCCTAAGTCATAAAAGGGTCATGCTTTCCCACCCCTGGCCTATAGCATAGAGGTGGGTTCTACTTACCTTTATTACCAGTTTGCATCATGCTCACCCGTGCACTTCTGTGCATATGCAGATCACCTATGATGACGTCCAGGTCAGTGGGCGGAGCCACCCGCCGATTTTACTACCGGTTCTTGCAAACCGGTCCAAACCAGGGGCAACCCACCACTGCTATAGCACTAGATGATATGAGGGTTATGATATCATAGAAATACCAGTTGGGTTCAGTGTTGTTTTACACGATTCAGATGAAAATGAAGAGATGTTTACTACGTAGAACTTAACAGGCCTAAGAAAAATAGCTTTCATCTAAATCAGCTTAACTTTGGTTACAGGCGCTATCTAGCTTAAGTAGAGTAATGAAACCAAGAAAAGATGTTGAAAAATGAAAAGACTTAGTCTTGGGAACATAAATGGAGGCAAGGTAATCATTGAAATGTATTCTTACTTGTGAAGGATTACAACTACAAAGGAGCATTTTATTTGCTAAATAAAATTACATGGCTCTCCTGATTCTCTAAGCAGTAGGAAATGGCTGGATAGTTCAACTTGCTACTCTAAGTAGGCTCCCCATTGCCCCTCAATATCATTAGATGTCACTAGTGGGGGCGGGGGAGTAGAATGTGGTAAAAACAAACACACATACAAAATGGAGCTGTGCAAATATTCTACCTGGTGATTGAATTCAGGGAATTTTCAACATATCCTCACTTTAAGGCAGATTCATGAAGTGAAGCTGGAATCATTTTGTAAAGGACAAATCAGATGTGAATTAACATTAAAAGCTTTGGTGGTGCTTAATCAATTTAGGGGCTTCCCAAGCTAGCAGGAATAGCCAACACTCCAGAAGGTAGGCTTAAGATACAGAAGGATCTTGACCAGGGGAGGGCTGCTGTGGGTTCACAGGGGTTCAGGAGAACCTCTAGCTAAGTTTCTGTGCAGTTCAGAGAACCCCAAAATCCCACTCTGGCTCACTCCACCCACCCCACCCCCTCCTGGGAGTCCCCACATGGCCCATTTTGGATGCAGGTAATGCAGGGCACATGCGAAAGCTCGGTGAGGGTGAAAAATGGGCCTACTGGAAGTTAGGGAAGGATGGAAATGGGCTCATTTCTGGCCTCCAGAGGGCCTCCAGAGCCTGGGGAAGCCATTTTTGGCCTCCCGGAGGCCCGAGAAAAGCCTCCGGCGCCCGGGAAGGGCAAAAAAGCCCCCCCCCCCACTGTGATGCAAGAGGCCAATTAGGCCACACCCACCATGGCCACACTCACCCAGCAACTGGGCAGAGAACCCCTTTCTAAAATTTTTGAAGCCCACCTGTGATCTTGACAGACTTGAACATTGGGTGCTATCTAACAAAATGAAATTCAATGGTGAAAAAAGTAAGGTCCTACACTTAGGCAAGAAAAACAAAATGCACAGATACAGTATATGTGGTACCTCGCTTAATAGTAGTAACTCTGAGAGGGATCTTGGAGTTCTAGTGGACAATCATTAAAATATGAGCCAGCAGTGTGCAGCAGCTGACAAAAAAGCCAACACAGTTCTAAGCTGCATAAACAGAGAGATAGAATCAAGATCACAGGAAGTGTTAGTACCACTTTATAATGCCTTGGTAAGGCCACACTTGGAATACTGCATCCAGTTTTGGTCACCATGATGTAAAAAGATGTTGAGACTCTAGAAAGAGTGTACAGAAGAACAGCAAAGATGATTGGGGGACTGGAGGATAAAACATATGAACGGTTGCTGGAATTGGGTATGTCTAGTTTGATGAAAAGAAGGACTAGGGATGACATGATAGCAGTGTTCCAATATCTCAGGAGCTGCCACAAAGTAGAGGGAGTCAAGCTATTCTCCAAACCACCTGAGGGTAGGACAAGAAGCAATGGGTGGAAACTAATCAAGGAGAGAAGAAACCTAGAACTAAGGAGAAAATTCCTGACAGTTAGAACAATTAATCAGTGGAACAACTTGCCTCCAGAAGTTGTAAATGCTCCAACACTGGAAGTTTTTAAGAAGAGATTGGACAGCCATTTGTCTCAAATGATATTGGGTTTCCTGCCTTAAGCAGGGGTTTGGACTAGAAGACCTCCAGGGTCCTTCCAACTCTGTTATTCTATTCTATTCTATTCTGTTATTCTATTCTGTTCTGTTCTGTCCTGTCCTGTCCTGTCCTGTCCTGTCCTGTCCTGTCCTGTCCTATCCTATCCTATCCTATCCTATCCTATCCTATCCTATTCTTCATGTTTTGGGTGTGTTACCTCTAGCAAGTGATATGTTGCAACTTCATTTCTTTATATGGAAAAGTTTTGATCGGTTAAGTGGTGCAATTGGCTGTCTGACTTTGACATGACCTACCAGCCAATGAGATTTATCATCACATTAAACTCTGTCTATCCGAGCACTTTTGCGGTGGCAAAGCTAATAACACTTTAGGCTTCATTCACTTTTCTAGCTCTCACCTTCTTTAATGTGGCCAGTCAGAAGTACTCACTTTACTCCCTCTTACACTAATGAAAATTACACCTACATGTTGGTTTCTTTCAATACATCTGAAAATTTAATTCAGGTCTCAACATTCCAAATAGGGGTTCAGGGTTAATCTAACTATAGAATTCCTAACAAGTGGAGCAGTTTCACATTACTTAACAATGAGAGCAATGGATGCTAAGTTAAAAAGCTTACACATACCAGCCAAAATTTTTACTACTGCAAAAATAAGGGTAGAGTGCCAAAGTTGCAAGTGCATTTTCTGTGTGTGTGTGTCTTTCTGGAGTGTCATTAGGCCATCCTGCCCTTTGGTCTTACTTAACTAATATAGATTGTTGCCAACTTCTGCTAATTGGGTGGTGGTCCTTTACAAGAGCAACTGACCTTGTTAATCACCCTTGCCAGCCTCCATCAGAATTCCAGTGAACCCCATCTTTTCCAAGGATGTGTCGAGGAGAGGAGGAGAGAAGCTAGGTTAGAAATTAGGAAGTGGTTAGGGATTTGGTAGGCAGAGAATGAGGTAGACTTAGGGCTTTGTTCAGGAGTGAAATGCTCCCGGTTTGGACCGGATCACCCAATCTGGTAGCAATGGAGGTGGGTGGTTCGGAGAACCGGTAGCAAAAATCCCTGCCCCCCCCCATATGCCCAGCTGAGCTGCACAATCATTAGAGGCTTTTTTTTTTTACTTTTAAAAACATTTTTTCTACAACCTCTTCGGCCAAAAAATGCTTTTAAAAGTAAAAAAAAAAAAAGCCTCTGATGATCGCGCAGCTCAGCTAGGATCGTCAAAGGCTTTTAAAAGAAAAAAAACCTTTTTTTTCTTTTAAATGCCTCTGAAGATTCAAGCTGAGTTGCCTGATCAACAGAGGCTTTTTTAAAAATTCAGCTTGGATCATCAGAGGCATTAAAAGAAAAAAGGGGGGGGGGGTTGTAGAAAAAATGGTTTTAAAAGTAAAAAAAAATTGGTCATGCCCACCCAGTCACATTACCCCACCACCACCAAGCCACACCCATAGAACCAGTAGTAATAAATTTTAGATTTCACCACTGGCTTTGTTCCATGCTGACTAATGCAGCTTCAAGCATTTTGAAGTTCCAATAGAAGAGAATATCTGTAGCTCAGGATTTAACTGTGGAGTCCTTGATGTTCTCTGAGCTTGGTAAAGTAGTACTTATCAATTTGCAAGCCACCTAGAGTTAGTCTGATGGCTGAGACAGAATGCAAACTTGATAAATATATAAATATAGTAGTTACCAGATTGGCACAGCATCATTCCCCACCCACACTAATCTTGTTGGAAATTCTTTGATGGGAAGAAAATACTTTGAAATCCACAACTTATCTCTAGCTTACATCTTTTTACCCTCTAAAGAACCCTGATCACCAGGTAAATATGTGTGGATGACATTTTCAGTTTTCCAGATAAGAAAGTTCCAATGGTGGACCTCCATGGTCATCTATCCCCCTCCTTCTATTCCTACTGAGAAAGTCGATGAGACACTAGTCCAGGGATCAGCAACGCACAGCTCTGGGTTTCATCCCTCTGCTGTGGCTCCCTGTCACTGGTCAGCTCCACAATTGATAGGGCTTTTGGTTAGGACAGGTAGAGGAAAAACGCTGCCGCACTAAAAGGAGACTTTATGGT